CCGTCCTAAGAGAAGACATGGGCAGTCAAAGCCATGCCTGCATAACGAGAGCACAACCTCAGAACTATAATATGATGACACAACACAGCAGTACAATACTGAACTTTTTTCAAAGGACTAACAAACTGACAAAAGGTCTGCCTGGAAGACAAAAAGGACCACAAAGAATAAGCCTGTTTGTCTAGCACTGTCCAAAGAACAGGGTATTTTGGCCAGCTAACATTAGTATCTCTCACTGGAAGTTAATAAACTGCTAGCTGTTTTATCAACCAGTCTCTTGTGGGGTTAGGACAGATCTCCCAATGGTGTAGCCTCAAAGCACCTGCTTCGCTGTAATTACGTTATTCACAAAACTGTAAGCTCTGTGCCTGCAGAGATCAGATCTATCCTATTCATGACTGAAAATGCAGCTCTACGCATGGTGCCCAGTACAAAGTCAGCAGTTAATACTTGGCAAGTCAAATGAAGATTGACTGAATAAATAAATGACCAGTAAGTCCCCCAGTGACTAACTCTGGTGAACTGATAAAACCCAAGCAGGGGCTGGGGCAGGGAAGCTCACAAAGCTGGACTGGCCCAAGAACTGTGGTATCCACGAAGGACAAGCCCACCAAGGATGAGGCACCAGCTGAAACAGGGCTGCTGGTTTCTCCCTCATTTCTTTTTGTATGTGGCACACTTGACTCGTTCTTTACACCAATAGCCATTCACTCTACCTTGTCCTTGTCCATGACGACACTAGCCACGGGTCCGAATGCCTGGAAGTACTCAGAAAGCTGCGCAGAATCCACATCCCGGGGAAAGCCACTGACAAACACACTCCGAAGACCCTGGGCCTTTCGGGCAGCTCGTAGTTCTACCAGGTGCTGGTGCTTCCGGCCTCCCAAATGGGCATCTAGGCTGGGTCCTGCAAAGATAAACATGAAACAAAAACATCCAAATCACTCTTCGGTGGACTTAAATGCATACCTAAATCCTACTAATCCTTCCAAGCCATAGGAAGTGTGATCTTTGAATAAACAAAGTCCTAGCTCTTTTCACCTTCCTCTCTTGTCCATTTGCCTATATAATGCATTCTAAGTGGTTCCCCAGAGAGCTAGCTACCACTTTTTCTTAAACCATCTCTAAGTGCTAGAGCAACACCTGCAAATTGTAAAGAAATTAACGGGAAGCTTATCCAGGTCATATACAGAGGAACTAAAGAAAACAGGACCCTAGACTATTCCCTCATGAATCATCCCTAGGTATGGTATAGAGATTGAAAGTGCAAGATCTGAAGTCACACTGCCCAAGTTTAATTCTCAGCTCCGGCAAGCTGTGTGAGATCTTGGGCAAGTTACTTAACCTCTCTGTGCATCTCTGTGCACACACAAAATGAAGATATTAACAGTACCACATAGGTATTATGCATCTAAGAGTATTTGGCAGAGTCTGGTACATGTGGACCACGGGAAAAGTTTAGCTGCTATTATTATTATTTTTTTTTTTTATTAAATTTTGGGTCAGCTGCTTATTGTCACCAATGTATATGTGGGGACAGGGAAGACTATCTTGGATTTCTGGCTTGCCCTAGGGGACAAAGAGTGGTAATGTCATTCACAAAGAAAAAGAATGGAAGATCTGTTTCAGAAAGATCATGATTCCAGTTTAGGAAAGATCGCGATTCCAGACTTCAAAAGTGGAATTTGAGGTTTCATGGAGTCCCCTGCGCTGTCATACAAGAATCCTGTCGATTCTGCCAAATCCACTTTCTCATCACGCATGCCCTGCTACCCTGCTACCTCACCCATCTTCTGCCTTTGCCTAGCTCCTCCGTAGGGCTACCCTGAGTTAAGTGCTACTTTCTCAGTGATCCTACAGCTGTCTAAACATATCTCTAGAGCTCTGGAATTGTCTGCATCTCTAGATGGTGAGCTCCTTCACCTCTAAATCCCCTCACCCCACCCGAGAGCCCAGCCGAGTAACAGGCACAAAGGGGGCGTCCAACAGATAACGGTGATAGAGGGAATAAGATCATGACACTTTAGTTGTAGAGATTTCGGATACTAGGGATGAGGGGGCAAAGTGGTGGGGCTTTCCCCACTCTCCAATCCCTTCGTACAGGCGGAGTGAAAACCGAGGTGAGTGACCCTACCAACCGACTTGACAAAAACTAGGCCCCGAAGACGAAAACTCACGACCACCCCCTCACAAGCCACCGCTTACGGTTGGCTGTAGTAACGTGGCAAAGGCAGCAGCGGAAACCCCCACGAGGCAGCGATTGGACATCCGAATCCACTGCCGCCATCGCGACTCTCCAGTACGGACAACACACAACCACTTCTGCCACCACCGGAACTCACGCCTACAAATCGCAGCGCGCTTGGAAGCAACTTCCGCCAGTCCAATAGGAAATGACGTAGCAAGGCCAATTGCGCAGGCACACTCCTCCGGAAACTGAGTCCCTAAGGCTCCGGGTTCCGTTTCCACCTGGCTTTAAGTCTTCACCCGCTTCTGGAAAAGCCGCCCATCTTTGATACTTATCTGCATGCGGTAAGCCGATTGGTGTGCTCTGAGCCACTTAGGCGTTGATTGGCCCAAGGCTTCATGAATATTCATAAAAGTGGCCACAAAAACCGGCGCCGGGGGTTTGAAGCCTGAGTGCTCTATCCTTGCTGGGAGTTCGGGAGTGTGCTGTTTGTACCTTCTTTCAAGAGGCGATTAGAGACCCGCGGCGCTGCATCCTCTCTCCTTATTCACCTGGCGAATAAAGGCGGAGGATGAGCCGACTTCACAAAACTCAAGGCTGCCCCTGGACTCCCAAGTTCCTTAGGGCTGTTACTCTCTCCTTCTGCCCTCTGTCCTTCCCTAAAATGGGCGTTCAGGGACCACTTCCTAGCCCTGGTTAGGGAGCTCTGCCCCTGTGGGCACCCTCTAGACTCCACTCAGCCACAGCCAGATCGCTGCGGTCCCGGTGAGTCAGGCTTTCCTTCCGCAATAGTGGGCTGCGTGAAGTGTACTCACGAGGCGCCAGAGCCACCGGCCGGCTTCAAGGCAGGCGATGGAACCTACCATGTGACAGCTGAGTGGAGACATTGGAGGGAAAAAATGCTTCTTTCCCCAGACTGGTAGAGTGGTCAGTTCCTCCCGATACTGCCGGGGTGTAAGCTCAGAATGGGGAGAGTAAAGGAGCTGGGGAGGCCCTGGGGACAGACAACATGACATGGAGAAGACTCTCAGATGGGCTAAGCAGTTCCTGCTGCGGCTGTCAGCGCACAGCTTCGGACTGCGGAAAGCGCCCTGGACCTGAAGCAGACATCTCAAGATCCGAAACCTTAAGCAAAGTCTCAACTGCTGAACCTGTTCCCCTATCTATCTCTAAAGTGTGGAAGGAACACGTACAACAGGCTTAACCTCTTATTCACTCTCCGAAGGTGCTCCTCCTGTTGGGCCCTGCTCAGGCTTGTTTCCCAAACCCAAAAAGGCAGGAGACAGCACTAGAGTGGACCTCAGGCCAAGGCAGTTACTGAGGCTGGTCTTGGGAATCCTTGAAGTGGCAACTTGTGCAAATAAACCACAGAGCTGGGTGGTAAGATACTGCAGTACCCACCACCACCCCCCCTCCCCAAGGTAGGCTACATCTTGCCCTGGCTTCCAGCAACTCCCAGAATTTCCTGAGAGCTAAGGGTTGGGAAATAGAAGAAAAAGCACCTTCATGCCTCCCTTCCTGTGGAAGCCACCAACCAGAGAGTCAGCTGATTCTGTTTTGAGTGAATCTGTACCAAGATGGAGCTCGAGTTCCAGCACCACAGGGAGCTGGGGAGCAGTTTGGGTCCCCCAAGAAAGCTAGCAGGAACAGTCTGCCTGTCCATGCTGCCTATCTCAGAAAGCTGCTCCCAGGGCAAGCACCATCTGTATCGTCTTTCTTATCCCTTTGTCCTTTATTCCAACTGACGACACCGCCCCCCCCCC